TTGTGTCTGAGGCAGGAAACATAGCCTTATATGGTGTTTTTGGGTTGGCAATTATGCTAATCTCCTCTCGCGTGCACGAGCAGCTGGATACGAACAGGTGGAATTTACGCAGCTCATTTACACACTTTTCATGAAGATAGGAGAGTTTGTTGAATCTGACGTGGCATGTTCGTACGAACCCTGTGTACGAACAAAAGTAAAAGAAATTTAGGATAAGAATATGAACATGTTCTTGCATGAGGCCCATTGTCCCTATAAGTAGAAAAAAAACTCTTTGGCTGTGGAGTGATTAAGGTTCTCCTGGAGGAGTGAGCTGAATATCTTTCTGAAGGCGTTCCCTAAAAACCCTCAATATACATTTGGTCTACCAGGTGGTGATCATTTGACAGCTCAGCTCTTCTCTTCACCCAAGTGTTGAGAACATACAGCTGCAGATCAGATGACATGACTACAAAGTCAATCACTGATCTACAACCTAGTTTGGAGAGGCCATTCCTTCCAATCACACTGTTGTTACCCACATGAGCTTGAAGTCCACCAGCAGAATAAAAGAGCCCCCAGAGGGTGCACCTTACAGCACCCCCACTAAAAACTCCAAGAAGGCGGGGTACTTCCAATACTTGTTTGGCAGGTAGGCACAAACAACTGTCAGAGCTTGTCCCTCCAGCCAATGGCACAGGGAAGCTACCCTCTATCTACTGAGGAAAACTACAACACAAAGGCACCAAGCTCACTGCCTGTCACCAAAGGTAAGTCCAAGGTAGAATAATGTGCACCCCCTCTCAAGATTGGTTCTGGAGCCCTTGCTGTGCATCAAGGTGAACCTAACTATAGTCGGTACCTCTCAACCTCACACATAGGCTCAGGTTCCCTCCCTACAAGAGCAAGCTTTGGTAGGCCATGGTCAGAGCGCCACGGTCCCTGCCTTTGGCTACTGCCCATGATATCATGCACCCAACTCACTGAACGGGCATTCTGGACTGTAATTCCCCATTGGGATCAATATAGTATTATCAATCAATCAATCAATCAATCAATCAATCAATCAATCAATCAWYMAWYMATCAATCAATCAACATGGCCTCTCCTGCAGGTGGTGGGTCCACTGGATGGCAAACCCAAACTCTTCCTCAAAAACTTTTCATCAGACTACAGTGGTAATGTCAAAGTGTTTGTATGGTTTAATCTATTCACCTCTGTTATTTAATGCAACATTAAACTGTTCTAAATGAATCACTCTCTTAAGCTACAGTTCACTAAAATGTTTATTTTGTGATCTTCTGATATGCAGTTGGTCTACAGAAGTGACCTTGAGATGAGAGAGCTGTTAGCAAATTAAACAAAGTGATATTAGTTATAGCTGAGTTTATTGCTAATGAAAGGGGCAGATGTTTTGCACAGGCACCAGAGTTTTGTTGCTAATACTGCTTTTCACTTTTTATATAAGCATTTCAAAAGTTGATAAGAAACTTTCCTTTTTCAGCACTTAGACAACAAGAGGCTGCACTAATTAAATCACTGATTAAGAGAACAAAACACATTGATTTTAATGGTAATTAGGTGGAATATTGACTTCATGAGTTATATGTTGGTATTATTTAGGTTTCTCATTTCTAGTCAAGACTAGTTCCCTGTCCAGGGTACCAGTCTCTCCCACATGTACTTTTAGGAAAAGGCACCAGCTTCCCTGTGAACTGGAAGATAGAAAAAGTGAGTAATATGAAAAAATACTATATTGATTAATTTCTGGTCAACGATGTGTATATTCTGTATATTCTGAGAAAATTGAATCTATATCTTTTTATACAATAGCATGGAAATGAATTATGCTAAAATACATCAAAATAGTCTATCACAGTGTGACAGTGAGCATTTACAACATAGGTAGAACATGTCATCTTCTGTTCACATGGATCCAACATAAATTGAGTTTTTGAAAGTCTACACTTAGGAAAGTGTTCAATTTCTCACTAAATGTGGGTCTGCTGAGGTTTAAAAATAAAAAATAATATATTTTCAAAATTTTTTTTTCAAAATATCCAGAGTTGTATGGACATGGCTTAAGTGGAAAATATATAGTCGTTAACATTTGCTAGTTTATTCTTCATCATACGATATGTTCAGTTTTAAAGCGTTTACCTCTTAACAAAAAGGCACTTAACTGCTTGACTAGAACTCTGTTTGTTGCAGTGTAAAAGAAACAGATTGTCTTGTTTAAACTGTGTGCACAACAGGACAGAGAGGAATCAGTAAATCATCTCAAACCAGTTCTGGGGTACCTACATACTGTACAGCAGAAACTCAGCTGCATATTGATGTCACATCTGTTTAAGGCATGACATCACCAACAGAGTATTGGTCATCTTTATCTTGAAGGATTCATTATACAAACCCATGCTGCAGGAACCACAATTTGTGTACAATTGTATTTWAAAAAATGTCAAATTTTGGACAGAGCATTATCCATTTGATAAGATATCTTGAAATAATTGGCTTGTTCAGTTGTTAAAAAACTGAATGGAACTTTGTTTTCTATCTATAGAAAGATTTGCTAAATAAAAAATAAAGTTTCTTATCAGCACATAGGAAGTCAGGTTTGATAAGAACTGAGGTAAAAGATACATCAGGTAATCAGTTTATACTAAAGGTAAAATAACATTTTCGTATCTTACATATGATTAATATCCTTAGAGCTGCAGCTCCAAGGAAACAAGATGTAATAGGTGATAAATCTTGCAAACGTACGTATGTTAAAAATAGAACAGGTGATTGTCATTAAAAAAATACATTTATCTGGGATAAGTGCTAGTTACAGTCATGATGGAAGTAATGGTATATTTACTGAAAGCAAGTGAGCCTGTTTTGGTCTGAACATGTGATGGAGACAATTGCTTCAGTTCTCCTCATAAATGAGCAACCAGTTGAGTGTGTGATGGCTCGTGCTTTTGAACAGACTTGCCTGACACAGACATCAATGAGGTCGTTTCTCAAAGGCTGAGGACAAGCAATAATTAATCTTCTTTGACATCATCATTCTCTGTGTCACCTAGCAACTGTCCACCTGCATTTACAATTCCACAATAGGAGCCTCTCATGGACGGTCCAGAAGTAGGGAGCTCTCCGTGGTTACAAAACAAATGTCTCCATGTTGGAACTGACTCCATCTACATGTTCTCATGTAAAAACATTTAATGATTTTTTAAAAATTTGGGTCAAAAGAGGCACTGAAAAAACAACGATTAAATGTCCTACCACTGCACAGTACACTTTGTGAAAAGATAGGGAGGAAACAGGTTACCAATTGTGTGTTTGCTTTTCATTCTGTGTTCACAAATCCATCTGCTGAGGAGAAAATGAAAGCAAAAGCAGGCTTTGAATAACTTTCATTAAATGTAGATAGGCTCTATTAGCTTCACCAATCACATAACCAGGCAAAAAGGCAAGCAATATGATTCTCTGAAAAGAAAAAAAAATCCACCTCGAAAACACAAAAGCGTGTTCACCGATGGACTCTGGCAAATACTGCATTGCTGAAAGAGTCAGCTTGTATGACAGCTCAGTCTAACTAGTATTTTCTGCCTCAGTAACAGTCAAGATTAGGCTGTCAAATGAATAATACTGTATTTTAGTGTCCACATTATATTACAGCCTGCAGTCTCACACGCACGCACGCACGCACACATACACACACACACACACACACACACACNACACACACACACACACACACACACACACAGATTCATGCATTCAAGCCAAGAGGCAGCCATCTGCTGCAGTAAAAAGTCAAAAATGCCTGTAAGATCAACAGCTAAAAATTGAAAATGGCAGCATGTTCAGGTAAAAAACAGTGACAGAGTTCCTCATCATGTTTACTACTGCAAAATTGAGGAATAATAGGCTGTCATATGGTGACACATCAGCCTTTGTTAAAGAAATAACTTTGCTCTTCGCCTGGCGCTCTGATGCTCTGCCTCATGGACAAATTGTCCATTTGGCATGAGAAAGGTCTAAATGGAACTGTGTCTTCGCGATGTTGCTCTGCCAAAGCACAAAGAACACCACTGCAGATAGGAATCCAATTATCCAAGGCAAATAATGAATGTCTCATTTAAGATGTGCGGCTGTTGCAACYGTAATGGCGGTGTCACAGTTTTCCCTGAAGCCGGTCTCTATCAAGTGCATCATCTTCTGTTCAACGCTAACTCATATACAGCCATACGCCACAAGTTGTCAAGCTGCACAGATCATAATAAATCTTTTAAGGGCTCGGAAAACATGGCTCCAAAGTTAAAGTATTTACTCACATGTAGCGTAGGTGTGGATTCTGAGCAAACGCTCGAGCCTGGATCACCCTCAGGTTACAATTCATGATGGTCCTGAAATGAAGAAAGAGAAAGAAAAGATCAAATTGAGCAAAAAAAAAAATTACTAATAAAGACAGTTTTTACTCCAAATGTTGCCAAATACAACTACATGCACACAGGTTCATTATATTATAAGCATGCAAACTGCACAAGGGCTGTTTTATTTTTTCTTTCGGTGTGCTTTCCTTATCGTGACCCTCATTATTCTTGCATTACTCATCCACAATTTGGATTTCTCTTCTTACTTTGGCTCATTTTAAGGATWTTCAAAAGGTTCGTTTTTCTTTGCCTTTTTCCCTGCTTTATTCTTCATCTTTAATTTGAACAGGATGATAAAATGAACTCATGTCAAGTGAACACTTATTTAGTACTTCTCTGTTTAAAGATATTAGACAGACTTTTACCAGCCAAGGCAATGCAGTATTACAAGAGCTGTTATCTGTCTTTTGTAGGTTTTTTTCTGCTCTAGCTGCATGTGCATGTACACCCTGCAGAGCTTAGGGCCAAATAAAGAAAGTCACTTTGATGCACTGTTTGATGCAACATTTGTGAACTTGTGTGCCTTCTTATTGCAAACTGCAACTCCTTCTTTGGGAAGCAGACTGCCTCATTCTGCTAACTTGTGTGGAGAGAAATAATAGTGAAATTAAACTAATCCTCATTCTGCTAGAGATCCAACGGAATCCCCACAAGGACTCCTGCAATTCCCATTGCCGCAGTCTGGGAGCCGCTGCTCCGAGTTACAATTGTAATGACTTCTAATCTTGTAATCACAGATGCCTCTTTCCAAAGAAGTCCTTGACATCCTCATTGTGCCGCTCTTAATGCACTGAGCTGCTTCCATCCAGATGCTGTAGGCAATTACCTTCTAAAGATCAAATCATGGCTTTGTTGTGTTTGAAACATAATGTCACACAACAGTTCCTAATGTCATTGAAAAGATTTTTGTGAAGAAGTTCTGCATTACAAAAACAATAACTGAGGTTGCAGGTGGATAATACATATTTTATTAAAAGCAGCCAACACCAGTTCAGTGTTTGTGCAAAAACTTAGAAAAAATCTTGTAAAGCTTCAGTAGTTAAAATAATAAGTGCACAAAGCTGTTTTCAATTCTAAAAGTGTTTGTTTTTTTATGATAAAAGAATGATTAAACAAAAGCAGAAATCTTTGAATGAAGGCTCCGTTTTTTATTCTTTAATTAGATTAAAAAACACAACACAAATATACAGTAAGAGAGATGTGAGGTGATGTCATACAATACTGTGAATATCTGATTTACCTGTCTTTTACGATGTAAAGTATGTTTTTATATCCATATGTCATAAATATTTTGGCTGAGAGTTTTATGTTAATATAGATACCTACAGACAGTCCACCAGCATTACCTTCATAGATAAATGCAAACAGTCAGCTGTATTGAGATGATGCTATAACAGACTTTTGTCAGTATTGCACTGTTAGCATTTTAACTGTCTTTGATGCTTGAGAGGTGAACTTGAATATAAAGCACAGAATCAATAACAATCGTGTTAGGTTTGTGGTACATTGAGCATAATCTGTCTTATTTGATATAACGGAGAGGAAAAATGCTGAGCTTCACGTTCTGGAGATGTGCTGATTTTTGAAGAACTACTTTTCTATCATTTTGGTCAAATAAAGACGATGAGGAGGAGGTCAAATGTAAAAAAAAAACGAGGTGACAGGAAGTCTCTCCTCACTTATCCCCTTCTTACTGCTTCCATACCCAACTAAACCAGCATCACAACAGACTCGACTYCAAGGCAAGGGAGGAGACGGCATCCCCCTGACAAGACAGCGGTAATGAGAAAAATGCTAATTTAGTGGTGGAGATATTGCACTTGGCCTCCCTGATGATGGATCAGGGGAGAGGCCATCTCTGACTTTAGAGGGCAWCAGAGAATATGGTTCTCTGCAAGTAAAAAAAAAAAAGCACAGAGAAAAGGGGAAAGTAACTGAAAACCATTTATGTGATTGTGTGTTGGTGAAGCAGCAGCACATTTTTTTAAGAAGTGACCAGATGAGTGGTAAAAACACATAATGTTACARCAGGGACCCTCTGATTCCGTTCGGCCCACTCCTTTTTAGCATTGTTAATGTTTGATCTGCGACTTGTGCTACTGTGACACACCCATCCAACATCAAACAAAGTTGAGTCAGGCCAAGAGACTTTTTCAGTCGAAGAAGTTTCAGGTAAGCTCAACCGTATAAACAGTACATTTGCATAGTGGATCAATCAGTTTATCAGCAACAACTGAAACTGGTTGTTCACATTTCCCTGATATATCATGGGAGGACTGTGACCAGTTATACAACAGAATCTAAGCAGCCATGTTCCAAAAGGATGGCCCAACACAGTAGATCAACATCATCAGGCCAGGACTCTGCAGTTTACACTCATCTGCACTGTCACTCTTTCAGGAATGAAAGTGTTCTCATCCTTGAAAGGGAGGAATGTTGGTTTGAGAGGAGAAAGGGAAGACATTTTTGTGAAGAGACACTGCCCGTCACAAAACAGGGGTGAAGGCCTCCGTGTCCAATTGCCCCCTTATATAATAATGTTATTGTGAGTATGACTCAGCACTCTGTGTACAGCAAGCATCCATCAGAGCACTAGTGGTCCTTTGTCAGGCTGAAGGTTCTCCTATGCATGTACATAAACAGTTTTGGATGTTACAGACAAACTGGTTGATCCTCCATGGGCTGGTACTGACGGGCAGACAGTGAAATAAACCTAAGTGCCTCGTTTGGCTGAAGGKATGGGTCCACTGATGAACACATCCATGTTGAGATTCTAAATTGCATTCAGCAACYGCATGAAATCCTTCTTCAGAATTTCTCACTGTCTTTTCATATCATCATCACCTCCTGTATGACAAGCATCTTCAGAGCTGGAYACTCAGATGTGAATTCCAGAATCATCTCTGAGAGATCARACACTTTATGAGCAAAACTCAGAACTTTGACTTTTTTCTTGATCCAGAAGCATCTGATCTCATTCATCATTTTATCTGTGACAATCAACATTTATTGATTATTGAAAGTTTCTCTTCAGACTTGTTTWGGCTTTGGACTGAACCTGGTCTCAGGTCCTTCTCTGAGATCAAAGAATTAATTTTGTTCTGACTCATCAGTTTCATCCAGTGGTGTAAATCTATTTTGAAGAAAGACTTCTCTATCTTCACGTCTCTCACYGTTACCAGTTGTTCTAAATCCAGCCTGCCACTGCATTATTCTCCATACCGGTGCAGAAAAAGTATTTCTCTGTAATTCTGGCCATTCGCTGTCATCCAAGTGTTGAATGCTTCACAAAAGATTTTTTGAAGAGAGTTCCATAAAGTTTGACTCTCAGAAAAATCTCCTCTTCATGTTGATTTCTCCTGTCAGCCTTCTCACCCATTTGCATGTGTGTTGAGTCCTCCAAAGCATTCATCTTTTTTCACACAATGAATCTTGAGCTCCAGCACCATCACTTTTTGGAGAAGCTCACACAAACCTTCAAATTTTCTTTGGAAAAGAAATGAGGCATCTCAAAGCTCTTTCTCAGCAGTTGATGTTTCAAAAATATTTTCAGGTTCTACAACAGCAGCCAAAAATAAAATCCAGTGTTCTCTGCTTATTCAAGATCATCTATCACATTGGGGTCACCAAATTTGTAGAGATAGCATCATTCAAAAATAGAAGTCTGAATAATAGGTATATACAGCACAGGCCCCAGCGTAAGGCCTTGAGCCGTTATCAGGAAAGCTCAAACAAAGCACGGCAGGCTGAATCTAAGAAGAAACTCTCTGCACAACTCAAAACTTYTAAAACACTTCTTTCACTCCTATWATGATGATCTGACCACCCCTGGAGTTGTTACCTTTTACRTCAGATGTTAACATAAYCAACTTTGTTYATATTACAGGCAGATAACACACACCAACTCACAGTCTCTGTTTTAAACATATGGCTCCAATTATTAGAAAGTATACAAATACCAAACTGAATCCAACAATCATGATCATTTACAAAATGTCTTTCAACCCTTTGGTTTCTCTGCAGTAAACAGGTATTTTAAAACAGGGATTAGCAGGGATAAGGTTTCCAATAACATTTTCAAGACCTGCACTGCAATTCAAAAAAAAAATAATGAAAGTGTCTCTCCCCTCTACACACACACACACACACACACACACACACACACACACACACACACACACACACACACACACACACACACAGAGCCACCTTCAACACAGGATGAGAACATCCACACTCACAATCTCTGTAGTCCGGTGTACAGCTCCATATCGACGTCTCTCAGAGTCTGCAGTCCCGTCCAGTTCTCTATGTGTCTGTAAACAGCAAGAAAAAAAAAAGAAGAGGAAAGTAAATGAGACATTTCTGTTCATCCAAGGAGAAAGGAAAATAAACCAGGAGACATGGCAAGAGAAAAACTCGGGTTTTTAGGTCCCAAGTTGCAAATTAACTGGCTGTGTGTTKTCAGAAGTTTTTTGAATCCATATTAATTCAAACTGCAATAATTGGAGCAGTTCTGACAGAGCGCTCTCTGCTGCCCTCTGATAGATTTAATTGCCAAGAGACAGCTTCTGAGGCCTAATCTGTGTAAGGGGAAGTGTGAGTGAGGACAAACCAAGTAAACACTTCAGATGGCTTCACTTCTCCTAACACTGTCACTCGCTGTGGCAAAACCTATTGTGTGTGGAAGGGTACAATAAACAAATCTGATGCCTTTAAATGTTCAAACTATCATTTGAAGCCCATGCAAAGTGCAAAACACATGAGCTGAGCATGAACAATCAGCAAGATAAAAAAATAAATAGATAAAATAAAAAAACTGCAACCTAAAATTCATACACCTCTTCAGAGTAAATACATTTCAACATATCCCTATCTGTTTAAGTGCATATGGGTGCATTAGCCTTAAGCTTGGTGGTGGGTGATCAGATAGCAAATTCTGTTTTATGACAACAGCAGGAAAATAATATTCCTCCAAGTGTTTAGTTTTTTCATTTTTTCCAGAACCTATGTTCTTCTGTGTTTGTTGGATTTTAGACATCTGGTGTAAAATGATGAAGCAGCATCTGAGACATCAGTTCACATCATCATTGTTTGAACAATGCGCTTCGAGGTGTGTCACCTGCTTTCTGAGCAAAAAATAATGTGTGCTAAATACAACCACCAGGCATGACTTTACGCTGAAATGATTGTTGTTTTAAAGGAGATGTATCATGCTAGTAACCCTTAATTTTCACATGTAAAATCATTCAGTTGCAGTCTACATAAAGTGGAACATAAAGCAACATAAAGTGTTTTCTCTTCATTTCTTTGAGTGTTCCTGAAAGCCAACAATTTGCACTTTGACCTTATTATTGTATCATGTTTTTGATCTGAGTTCATTTTACAGAATGAAATGTCTGAATGMGTGCTCATCCAAGACTGGTGATTCCATACTTTTTTGCCAGGTGTTGTATCTAGCGGCACAAACTACAACCAACGGAAGTTATTCAATCATAATCAAAAGTCTTATTTTTCTATACTATATCAAGCAAGCCAAAATAAAGTAGTTAAMAATTAAGCTGGTAGAGTGGTGTCCAATCTGGTTTCTGGTTGTCTACATTTGGTTTTAGATTAGACAGGTCCAAAACTGCAGAATGACCTGTCATTAGAAAGTCAAGATTGACAAATATGTAGCATGTACAGCTACATTAAACAGCCACAAATTATGTTAGTGGCACCATAAGATGAAAACGATGTGCAATGTATCAGTGCAGGAACATTTTGCAATTTAATTTGTTTATTCCTTGTATTACTGCCCCATTTTATCCATATCCAGATGCCCACAAGCACCCAGATAAAATCATTTCATGAAATCAAATTATTCTCATCTCATCTTTTCAGTCAAGTGAAACTGTATTATAATAAACACACAAAACCTTTTTTTTTTAATTTCCATAAAATAAAATACTAAAAATTAAAAAAAAAAAAAAACAAGAACCCGTGGTTTATGGTCACAATGGCAACCTTTTGACTCGCTACACTTCTTTTTCAAGGTTCATGTTTGATTTCATGACCATTTCCACACTTTTTTTGTTTTTATTTGGTTCCCATTTTATGATTTTCTCCTGGAGTGACTCGTTCTCATGTTGTCTCCTAACATCACACTAGTTTGTTGTCAAACATAAGGGGAATAATGACAAAGTTCTTAACAGTGAATATGTTCAAATCATTGAATCAGTTGTTTCTGCTCACAGTGATGAAATAAACAGAGCAGAAAAATAATCATAGAGGTGCTTCCGTGGATCCATTTATATTCTTTCATCTGGAGAAAACCAGACTACAACTGCCTTAGTGTAATTATTATCTATATGAAAAGAATCAAAGTAAAGCTAAGTTATAAACACAAGGGTAAAAATATTAACCATTTGAATCAATGGAAATAATAATAATCAAAGGAGGCGTTACATAAGACAGCTGACAGTGTCACACTTGTTTATTTCTGGAAACAGTCACACAGACAGTCGTACGGTCACTGCGGGGGCGCTAATAGCTGACCCGGCAGTGCAAATGAAATAAAATGGTGTGGCAGCTAGAACGGCCTCACACTGTCAGTCACTCTGCTGCTGCTGAACCCAGAGCAGCCTATTCTGAGTCACTAATGCGACCTGCAAGCAAAAAAGGCCGACACCCTCAGGAGGATTAGCTTGTTGACAGTGCTGCTGCTGCTGCTGCTGCTGCTGCTGCTGCTGCTGCTGCAGCTGCTGCTGCAGCTGCTGCTGCTGCTGCTGCTGCTGCTGCTGCTGCCGTGTTGCTGAAGGAGGTTGGGCTCAGAGGAAGACTGTGTCCCAGAACTTGGACTTTCATGTCTCAGAGCCTGGGATCATTTCACAAACACTCTTCATACGGAAGAAATATACTTCACACTGTTTTTTTTACTGGCAGAAAAAACTTTTTTCTTATCGCCCACTGCAGAAAGGCAAAGGTAGATAGATTTTTTGCTACATTGTGGTGACCCAGTGCTCAAGCCTGGTCCTCGTGGGTAAAGATGCTGATTTTGGGTGAGGGGTTAGGTTTAGGTCCAAGGTCTGAATTGAGTTTAGGCTAGATTTATGGTCAGGTGTGTACAGGGGTGGTTGGGTTTAGGGTAAAGTGTTATGATTAGGCTATAGAAATCACCAGAAAATGAATAGAAGTCAATGCAAGGTCCCCACAGCGATAGAAAACCAACTTAACTGTGTATGTGTCTGTTAAAAGGCCCCACAAACTACAGAACAGATTTTAATGAAACTTCAGGAATAACCAATGGATGTACTTACTGTAACTGATTGATGTAATATTGAYAATCTAGAATGGCCACGTGACCTTAGAAAACAGAAAAATGTAATAAATTTAACAGATGTGCAAAAATTTATTGTGGTTTTTAGCTGAAATTCATCCACATGTCAAATGTTTCTCCTCCCTAAAGATCTTTACTCAAAACTGTAATTGTTGGTGTCAAACGTGTTTGTTAGCAAAACCTTTTGAACCATTGGACCGATAACAGACAGATAACAAACTTTTTGAGTCAATTCAATACAAGYTGACTCCGTCTTCATTTTCAACCACATATCTGTAGTCAGCTCATGCAGRCAGCATCGGTAGAGAAACCCAGACATGCTTCTGTCCAGGGGATCCAACTAACCACCAGGTGGTGATCATTTCACAGCTCTGCTCCTCTCTTCATCAGAGTTTCCAAGACACAGGGACACAGGTCAGTCATCACTAAAGCGGGAAAAATAGCCGTATACCAAGTACACTCATAGATCACATATGTTTGAACATTATTGTTGATGTAATGCTGCGTTCACACCGAACGCGATTTCAGCTTCAAAATCGCAGCCACCGCTGAAGTTGGTCGCTTGTGCACTTTGAGGTCAGACGCARGWCAGCTCTTRAAGCGCTGCACGGCAACAGCCTCCCCGCCCCTCCCTCCTCTGTCRGGYTCTGTTTAATGTCGGACGAGGAAGTTGCTTTGCTTTATTTACAGAGAGCAAGAGCATGTCACGTTCATCAGATAATTAATTCATAATTAATTCACCAGATAATTCAGAGNCAGCTAAAGAGCTCCTCTCCATCTGTTTCAGGTTAGTGGACATCATTCAGTAAACTGTCCCGTCAGGAAATATGTCGCTACGTCACACAGTGGAGTCTCTCTGATTGGTTGATGTGGCGCATCGAGCTGCAAAAGTTCAGATTTTCTAACTTCAGCGATTTGCGCCTCAGCGCGTCGAATGCTCAGATCGTTCAAATTGTTCAAATCGCGCTGCTCTAATCACGCTTGAGGCGCCGCAGCACTTCCCGACGTTGCTTGAAGTGCATCCACCATAGACTTTGCATGTAAATCTGCTGCTCCTGACGCTGAAATCGCGTTCGTTGTGAACATTAGTTATGGACACAGCCCATGCTCAACTCAACCCAACTTTATTTGTATAGTACATTTAAATGTGCTTTACATACAGTATTACTAATAAGAAAAAGACAAAATGCAAGACCATAAGATCAATAAAAACAAATATGTATAAAAAATGAACCACAAAAATGAAAAAGTCAACTCATGCTGAACAGAACTCCGATAACAGAACACCGTCTGGGTTCAGATCAGTGAAGCAATTCCTCCCAATCACTCCCTTCCAGATAAATCTATCATCACCCACATGGGAACTGAAGTCACTCAGCTGCTTGAACCATCAGCCTCAGGATTACAAGACCACAGCATTGACCACCAAGCTACAGCTACCCCCATACTATCAGCTTTATAAAACACTAAATAACAAATTGATTTCAACTGCTCAATAGTTTGGTTAATTTCAAACTTGGCAAAACATTTTTATTGAAAACGACAATTTCAACTCAGTCTCATCCTCTGAACAGTTTACTTGAAATAAATACTGTATTAGACCAAACCCCTTTCTTTACTGTAATAGCAACCAGTGCTGTATGGACGCCAATCTATCTTTGTGCAGAACTCGACAACATGTTTTCTCAGCATGATCTGAGACTGAGCCAGACCTTTTTTTCATTTTTTATGTTTTTTTTTTCCTTTCCTTTTCTTTTTTTCTTTTTATTTTTTTGGCTTTTTCTGTCTTAAATGTTTTCTGGGTTTGACATCTGGGGATTCGGGGGGGGGGGGGGGTGATCACAGTTTTTTTTTTTCTTGGTCTTGAGGCTTTTTCTGAAAAATTGTGTGACCAAACACACCCCACAGGTGAGTTTCCTGCCAGTAAACCTGCTGTTACTGCCATCATATCTCACACCGGGATTAATCAGTAAACAGGATGTTTTCCATCATCCACTG